AAAAATTAATATTTAAAATTTTATTAAAATTTTTTAAAAACTTATTAAAATTTTAAATATGCAGACAAATTTGCCTGTATTACAATTTAAAGGATATGTATGTTATTATAAAATATTAATTAAAGTTTTTTAAAAATGATTTTTTTAAAACTATTATAATTTTTTATTAATAAAATTAAGATTGGAAACTATAATTTTTTATTATATTAAATTTTTTAAAAAAATTAATTATAAAATTAAAAGAAAATTATAAAATACTTCTTATTATATATAATATAATCACTTATTAAATTTATATAATTTTTTGTTTTATAAAATTAATTTTGAAAAATTTAAATATTAAAAAAATTAACTTTATTATAAAATTATTGATTTAATTAATTTAAAAAAATTTTTATTATACAGTATATTATATAATTTTTATAATTTATATAAAATAACATTTACAAACAAATTTTTTTTTTCAAATTAAATTCAATAATAAAAATATAAAAAATATTTTCAGTAAACTTATTCTTTATATTTTCAAATATATATACGTATTTTATTTTATTAACCTTTTATTAAATTATTAATAAAATTTATAAAGATTGAATTCCGACTTTTTTTGATCAGGACTGTATATATTAAACGTTTTTTTAAAGTCAAATAATTACTTATTGAATTATAACAAAAAATACATGTCAAGATTTTTTTATTACATTGCATATATACAGTATATTAAAAATATTTAAATTATAAAATTACATTGACTCGATTATATAAAAAATTGTAGAGTTAACCAAATTTGCCAAGAAAAATCCCCACATGATAGATCATGTTAGCATATTTTGATTATGTAACCTGATTAAAAATTTATTTTATTTATATACGATAAGTCGACTCCCCAGAGAAATTTAGTTTCTGCGACCAATGGCATATTTTCAAGCTTTCATTGTAAATATCGCACTTAAATTTTGTTGATGTTCATTGTTGTTAAATTATCCTTTTTTGATATTACAGAATGAACGTCCCAAGCAAGGCTTGGACATTGTTCAATCGAGACTGAAAGGAGCGAAGGCACTGAATCTCGAAATTGTTGAATATTTTAAAGAACGGTAATTTTAGAATTCTTTATAAGTTAATAGCGAAAATAGATTTAATGTTTTCATTTTCAAATAGAGTTGCGGTGGAGGATAATTATGTCAAAGGCCTTCATCGGCTGGCAAACAAAACATTTATTGCGGACAAATCGAATTTAGGGTAAGTCATCAAAAATTAAATTTAATTGTATCAAAAAAAAAAAGGGCATCCTTTAATAATTAACAAAATTACTTGGTAAAACAATTTTAGCACCTTTGCAAACGTTTGGGACAAACTCTTCAATGAAGTTAACGAATTAATTGATATTCATTCGGTCTTTATCAAAAGGATATACGAAGAAGTCGAAACTCCATTACGTGAAAAAGTAATATCCGATCCAGAATGGTCACAATTGAAGCATGTAAGTTTTTATTCTAAATTATTTAAGTTGTACGAATCCAAGTAATTTATATTTCGAAATTTATTATTTAGTATGAAATCAATCTAAGTAAATTAGCAAGAGAATACGAGGAAAAACACGCCAAAATCAACAAGGTATCTCTAAAATTTCCTGTCAATACCAAAAGGGGATAATTAGGGAAATCGATTATAATAACATATTTATCTGTAAATATTAAAGAAAAGGAGTAAGACGGAAAAACATACTGGAAAAAAAGCCGGAGCCCATGGTAAAATTTGTACATTAGAACTCAAGATCGTAATTTATCGAAATTTCATTAATTGTTTTTTTTTTGTTTTGACCATGAATTAAGAAAATAAATTGATGGAAATACAAAGAGCATTAGAAAACACATGTAATGAGTGGAACGAATCATGGTCGCAATTTCTTGAGGTAAGTAGTTGTTATTGTAAATTGTTAAAGCCAAATAATTTATTAATTTTTATTCATAGAAATCTCAAGCAGCCGATATGTCGAGGTTGATGATGTTAAAAGAAGCTCTTGTTAGTTTTGAAACAATACAGGCTGAATCATACCAAAAAAGAGTGGTGGTAAATATCATAGTAATTTTTTACTTTTAGTTTTATACTGACACTCTGTAAATTTAGATGACTGAGAAGACGTTAAATGAAATCATGGATTTTGATACACAGAGTGAAATTGACAGTTTTTGTAGCAAAAAATCTGGAAAAGAAGGTTTTTTACCGATTTTTCTTTTATTATACGATACAGAATAATCATAGGAGGGATAAAATTATTGACTACATTGATTCTATTCCAGCTAAAAGATTCACGCAAAATTTTTCGTATGTGAAGTTTATGACATAATTTTCTGGCGAAGTTATTATTATGGAAAATTGATGGGATTATTGATCTATAGAGAATCTATGTTTCCGCAAAGAATGAATGTAGCGAATGAAAACGATGGATTCAGAAGTTCTTCTAATTTCCAGAATGGATCGACATCACTTTCGGTATGTAGTTGGAATCGATGCCCGAAGATTCTGTATACTTATCGATGTTAATACGCTTTTTCAGTCAACTGTTCCTGTCAATGAAGGTGGATCATCAAGTACTCCTATAGAACCAAGACAATTGGACGGTATTTCCTCTAACGAGTCTCTGTCAGATGGTTATATTAGGTAGGTTTCGATTATTTTGATTATATCTCAATAAGTACTATTAAAAGCTTGATTCGTATACATAGCGCTTCTGTTACAGCTGACAATAAGGCAATGACTGCGGTTACAACAACGACTGAGAGGTCACTTTCAGTTAGCCAACAAGAGTAAGGGTCTTGCATATTGATGTTTCTTACATTGTGACTCGAATGAATGTAACGGTGTTTTTTTTTTGTTAATTCAAGCAATGCCACGCTTGGTTTATCCGCTGATTTACCTACAGGATCATTTTTAAGTCCTCCTCAATCACCAATGTCTTTAGATTTTCTGAGTTCAATTCACCATCCAAGGTCAGTATCTAGTTCCGGAGTATACCCTCGAGGATTGCATGCAACTATATCGGAGACTATCAATGTAATGTCTAAAGGAGAAGATGTTGTAAAGATGTTTGTAACAGGGGAAATAAGCGTTTCATACAATTTTCCAACTGTAAAAGATCATTCGGCTCCAATGAGGATTCGAATAAAAAATTTCGAAGCACTAGAAAAATCTGTATTAAACACATCATATATGCGTGATGTACCGGAAAGTTCTGGACTCTACGATATTGATACCAGCTTATTGTCTCTTTCTGGTGGTGCTCCGGTAGCAATGATGAAATATCAACTTCAAATTGATCCTGCAAGCAAAAACCTGTTAATACCACTACGGATCACTCCAAAATGGAAATGTGACCCGAATCTTACATTGATAATGATAAATTATCAAGCTAATCCTGAATGTTTACTTTCTGGAACATTGACCGATTTTACATTCATAATACCTGTTGATGGAAAAGTCGAATCAGCTCAATCAAATCCAACTGGAATATGGAACACAGAAAATCAGAAGATGTATTGGAAAGCTGACGACATAGATTTGTCAGCTCCTCCTGAACAAAAGAGAATTCTAGCTCGTTTTGAGACAAAAGAAGTGTCTAAAGAAGCACCAGTGACTGTCAAGTTTGTATGCAAAGGACAATTATTCAGTAACATTTCCTTAGAAATAGAGAAAGCTAATCCTGAAATCGACAAATTCCAAGAGGTTGTTTGCCAAGTGTCAAGTGGAAAGTTTATGGCATTGCCATAAATATTTTATGTCGTATTTTTCTCTTTACTTATATAAATTATTATTAAAGGGAGATTATGTCTTATTTAGGATGTATAATTTCTTTTTTCAGATCACAATTCTTTTTAAAAATTGCATTCATTGTATTATATATGGAATTCAAATTAACAAATTAAAGAAGAACAAACTTTTTCTTACAAAAATTGTTAACATGCAAAATAAGTCATACTATTTAATACTTCGATCGTGAAGAAAAAATAAAAGTCACGGCACCGAGTTTAATCTACCAGGCACATGAAAGGTCTTATGTCAATAAAATGAAGTTACACGTCCCAGCAAAACGATTGAATGACAATATCTTACCAATGTCCGAGTTTTTTCTGGTGAAGTTTCGTATAATAGGCTTCCCTTTGTCGAACTGCTGGAATATGGATACCGTACCAGAACCCATAACCAGAAGCGATACCCAAAGTTAAGGCAACAGCAATGTCCGTGAAGATACCCCTTTTAACCGTACCGACAATTGGAGCGATTGCCATTTTTCTTTATTGCTCTAAGTGTGACGAGTTTATGACAACGGAGTTCGAATGAGTGAGTTGTGATAATCGGATGTTTCGACAAGGAAAACCAATCACTATTTAATAACAGACGATCTCAAAATTTCTTGCTCAATTTAATTTATACCAATAAAATGAATTAATCTATTGGTTATTCAATTAAATAAATGGGGTATATTTAAATCTTAAAAAAAAATATTTTATAAAATATTTAAGCTAATAACTAATAGCAAAATTTTTGATATAATTTTATTTATTTATCATTTAAAAAATATTGCATAGAAATTAATAAAAAATATATTAAAAATGAAGTTGAAAATCCAGATTTTATTAATATAAATTAATAATTAATTTTTTTATTTATTTATTATTTAAAGTAGAAAAATCAATTTTTATTTATTTGTATATAACAAGATATATACTGTATATATTTTTTAGGGGCAAATGTGTAATTTTTATTGATAAGTATTATCTAAACTATATATTAAGTATTTTATATATAACAAGATATATATTAATAAAAGAAATAATATTTTTTAGATATAAAATAAATAATATTTTATTTATAATAACTATTTAATCAATATATCAAAAAATATATTAATAATATTAAATAATATTTAATAGATAAGCAATTTTACTTCAAAGTTGTTTAAAAAAAAAAGTTTATAATTATATTAAAAATTCTATAAAATAAAAATAATAATATAAAAAATTTTTTTATTTAATATATTCTTTTTTTTTTTTTTTTGAGTAAAAAATACTAATACCACATATATTTTATTAAGTTATTTATATTCAATTATATAAATACAAGATTTATTTAAGTTAACCTGCAACTCCTATCTATAGCCTTATCCAATTATATCAATTTTAACCATCATGTGAATAAATTAATATACTGGGTAAAATCTTTAAGGAATAAAAATCCTATTACTAGTTTTAAATCATTTAACTTAATTTAAATTCTGATGATAATTATTTGAAGTATATACTTTTTAGTAATATTACAAATCATTAGTTGAAAAGTTTGAAATTAACCAATTAAAGTATAGGGATTTTTAGTTATAACCAGTTGATTATAATTAAAACAACTAATCGATTAAAAAAATTTTGACCAATTAAAATTATTATCTTTTAGGATTAATTAGAACATCCAGATAATTCATTCAATACTTTTTGCCTGGTTTCTCGAAGAAGGTACTATACTCTATATTATTACCTATAACTTCAAATTTTTCTTTTTATCAGGTCCTCTTCTTTTAAGCAAATATCAGATTGGGATAGCCCCAGGCTAGATTATTCTTTGTGCTATGGAATCTGATATGTCAGTTGGAATTATAAGCTTATATCAAAATTAGATCAAAAGCTTTTTCTTATGCAATCTTTCCTACTTCAATCTGTTTTCAGTTTGCAATTATTAAAAAAATCAGAGATCCCATCTTTATATAGTCTAACTAAATTTAATTTGGATCCAGATATTTGGAGTATTATGATATTTGTAGGAAAACTGATAAATCCACAAATGAAGTATAATTTTTATGTGTTTTGTCTTTCGTGGATATTGAACTAAGAATATATTTGGAAACCAAAAAGCACTATTTACTGTGCTATTGATTTACTGATCTTTTTATTTGATATATTCTATTTTCTTAATTATTTATTACTTGTTACTAAAATTTTAATTAAAATAATATTTAAATATAAA